CAAGAACAGAAGCCATTCCAAGGTCCCGTTACACCGACTGAAGGTTGGGACAATCATATCCAAAGTATTCCAGGCTCTTTTATAAAAGAACGAGACTGAAATACTTTGGAGGGGGTATCTGTAGGCATATAAAATTGCTTATAGGTCCCTTAGCACAGCTCGGTACAAACCGACAAACCAACAAGGCGACGAGATCGACGAATCGCATGCAAGCAACGGAATGCATCCATTCGCGTGCGGAATCAAGCCCACGGTTCGGGGAGTCAACGAGTCATCCAAACAAGAGCGGACTCGGATGAATCACGACCGAATCAAGATCGGTTTCGGACTCGAACTCAAAAGTGGAGTTACTGCCAAATCAGGAATCCGACTTACTGCCAAATCAGGTCAACGAGTCAAGTCTGAATCAACCAAATCACGAACCGGAAAATGGGACACAGCACAAAACGACAGAAAACCCAACACCCTAGGAGGCTCGAGCCACCCATGGGTGGCTCGGCCCAGTGCCGGCCACCCATAGGTGGCCGACACTGTTCCGTGCGCGGGCACAGTAAAGAGAGCCTATAAATAAGCTAGGCATTGTTCATTTTTAAGGGTTGGGAAATTGGGAGAGAGGCGAAGCCCTGCTGGATTGGAGATTCAGATCTAAAAAAGATCTCAACTTTGGGACTTCGAAGACTTACTCATTCAGATCTGGTGCTCGGCGACCGTCAATGCCAAATAAGGTAGGTGTTCGAGAGGACCGGATCTCAGATCTACGCAGACGTACTCCGGATCTAAGCTTGGTCTTAGATCCCGAGACTTGGACGATTGTTTCCTTGGTGAATCAATCCTCCCCGGCTATTATTTCCTTCGTGGAATAATACCCGTAGTACTGCTTAGATCTGATCGGATCTAGATCTCGCGGTGGTCCACGGATAAACCCCGGCGCAGGCAAAGAACCCACAAAAGCGAGCGACCGCAAAACAGGAGCTCGCGATTTGTTCACAAGGAGAAAGTTGTAATCTTTGTTTATTTTTCTTTGATTTTCATTGTAACCGGATCTTATAAAAAGACCGGATCTTTGTAACCCAAAAAGTTGTTATTTAAGATGGCAATGGAATCAATAACAAAGAAAGAAATGATTTTCCCCGCGAACAGTCCTTAGCCGAGACACCGAAGGGTGTCTCGTTGGTCCGAGACACCCATATGGTGTATTTATCTGTTTCCGCCGTAATTCCTTCGTCCGAACTTGGATTTGAGTGATTCGAAGTGTGTTGGAAAGCCGACAAGGAGTTCTATCAGCTTCGATGGTTGGATCATCTGTAAAATGAATGAGACACGAAGGGCATTGTTCCTTTTGTAAACATTGCGGAGCTCCCGATTAGCCCGTACCTTCGTTAGTTCACGTAGTTCGTCGATTTACTTCAAGCATTCATCGACATCAATCGAACTCCTGTGAACCGGATAGTGACGTTCATCATCGTTCCTTAACACTGAGTCGTTCATGGAGACCTATAGGCAATTTTCGATGCCTACAGCTTGCTCACATGTTTTGCCTTGGTTTTTATTTCATATACTCCATATGGCATTTTGATAGGGGGAGCAATCCATATACTCGTCTTATACTCACCCATGCTTATTTATAGGGGGAGCTTTCGCTCTCTTCATTCTTGTTGGTTTTCCTTTTTTGATGTTGTCAAAGGAAAAGAAATATTATGAGTATATTCTTTTTGTTTATATGCATGATAATTACAATATTGTATATTCATTTACTTTTATGCATATATCCTTTTTGTAAATTGTTTGTCATTATCAAAAATGGGAGATTGTTGGCCTTCTTGTTTTGATGATGGTTTACAAATAATTTACTTCTAATGTTGTTTGTCTAGTGTTTGTGTTTTTATATCAATTATAGACAAATAACATATTGGAGGTTGGATGGATTGCGCTTCAACGATCAAATCCAATGGAGGTTGGCGGAATTGTGGAATGAAGCCTATGCAATTCAAATTAAAGATCCAAGTTCTAGCTTTATCCGCAAGTGTACCAAGTTGAGCTACATCGAAGATCAATCAAGCTTGGGTATATTTAGTTTAGGTTTTATATTATGTGTGTTAGTACTTTAAGCTCAATCATATATACACACACATATTTGGTTTTTATATATATAGTTATATATATATACACAAGTTTTGGTTTATGGATTTAACAATCATTGTATACATATTTTATTAAGTCTATAAAATCATTTCATAGGGTTTTAAAATATTATTTATGTCAAAACATCAAATTTCATGTATATCACATTTTCATGTTTTGAACACACTTGCAAAATACATGAGTTTTTACAAATGGAAAATTTAATTTGAGAAATTCTTTTTCTGACATGTTCAATTTCATGTTTATAAATGTTTCCCAAAGCTGTATCAATTTTGGAATTAATATGTTATGATTATTTGAATTTACAAAATCAAGTTTTTAATAAGCTCATGTTCGTGCACATGTTCGTACATATTTTTGCTAAACTGATGCGTTTTCACAAATGATAAATGCAATTTAAAAAAAATCGTTTACATGTTTATCATCATATATAAAAATATTTCCCCAAGTTTTACTAATTTTGGAATTGTTTTGTTATTTTCAATTGAATTTACAAAACCGAGTTTTCTGTAGTTTTTTTTTTCAGAAACTATATATCTGTGTTCAAACATTTATTACTATCAACTGGGAAGTGGTATTTCAGAAATTCTTTATCTAACATGCTTATATTTATGTCTATAACCTACCCTCAAAATTTCATAATTTTTGGAGTTGGTTTACTATTTTTAATTGATTTTACAAAGTCAGATACGCAAAATTCCAGAATCTGTCAAAAACAGAAACTATCTGTGAACAGTGCGGTCGACTGCTACAGTCGACCGTGCTACAGTGCAATCGACCATCATGGTTGACCGTCTGCAGTCCAGAGAGCTGTTTTGCTTCTTGCGGTCGACCACCACGGTCGACCGCCGAAGTTACCGTTGCACAGTAACGGTAATTTGCTGATTTTTATTTTTTAGTGGGTTTTTGGGGTTTTTGGGTTGTTTTCTTCTACCCTATATATACCCCTTTGCCATAACTATTTTCTACTCTTAAGGGATGTTTTAAACAAGTTTTTACAAGAGTTTAAGTTTTGTTTAAGTGTGTGTTAAAAGTTTCAAGTTTATGAAGATTGTTTCACAAGAAGAGGAGATCATCTTTGGTTTGAGCTTTCCACTTCACATCTCCATCTCTTTTGTTCTAGAGAAGTTTTCTCAACTCAATTATCTAGCTTGTTTACATTTACATTGTCATATTTATATATGCTAGACTTTAATTGAGTTTGATTTTATTTCTCTTTGTTTACACACACAACCATTGAGCTTATTGTATTTGCATACATTGTATAATTGGGTTATGGGATTGTGTGACTTAGAGAGTGAGCCTACATTGAGTTCTCTTCTATTGTAGAGAATAAATTTGTTACATTAAAAGTGTTGTAGAGTTTTCGGTTAGCTAGAAAACCGTATTGTGAGGTGTGGAGTGTAGTCACATTGTGAGATTGTGAACGTTGATCGGTGATCATTGAAAACCGATATTGTGTGGTGTAAACATTATTCGGATAAGCATAGAAAACCTGGTTGTGATAGTGGATTTTTCTCCGGGAGTGGGGAGCGAAGACGTAGGACGGAAGGTCTGAACTCCGTGATTATATTGTGTGTTTGTATTATTTATATTGCTCACTATCTAGTTTAGATTGTTTACCCTTGTGTCATTTATATATCCTTGTATGTATTTCACCATATATCTCATTGCTAGGATATATCCCTTTGTTCATATTACATATTCTTATTCATAACATATTGTATATCTATCTTGCAAGAATAGTTTATTAATAAGTTTTAATTGGTATAAAATCGGATTAGATTAGCACAAGACCCTAATCACCCCCCTCTAGGGTCTAACATATACTAGATTAGATGCACGTGCATTGTACGTGATTAAATATTATTATGTTTTTTTTCTATTTTCTTACTTAACTTGGTTGTGAAATATTTCTTTTAATTTCACATGAAAAAGTATAATAATTTAATGTCTACATACTATATAGTTAACCAAAAGTATTAAAATTACCATAACCAAAGTCAAAATTACAAGGTCAATTCACATGAAGGTCAAGATCCTTTTATTAAAAAATAATTTTTATGCAAATAATTTTATTCTCATCTCAATCCTATGTTTTCATCTTATAATTTGTACAAATTCACAATATTTTATATCTATTACAATTTTAAGAATAAATTTTTACTTTAATGTTATATCCCATGAGGCTAATAGGCTCCTAAGGAAAGATCATATACTAATAACCATATATCTTAACTATGAGAATTTTTCCAAGGTAATGTTATTATATTCTATATGTTTATATTTTGGATTGTCAAAGCAAGTTATGAAATGACTAATTAATATATTTTTATGCTAGTATGTATGTTTTTCTTGGTAGAATAACTTGTTATTTTTTGAGACATAAAATTGCATTATAGCTAACTTTGAATACTTTACGTAATTAGAGATTTGCTCATGTCTTTAAATTATGTTAATGTGACGCCCCTGGTTTCACACAAGGCTGCAGTCTAAGGTGAAACTAAGAATGTCAAACCTACCATGCACCACACCGTGCAATAACATGTTTCACCATCACAATTACTATCTCTCTAGTATAGTCAAAAACAGGTGTAGGTACAAAAGCAAGTAAAAAATTATACAAGAGTCAACTGATGAAATAATAAAGATCAAATTAATATTCCATCATTTACCATACTGAAATATAAGTCAATGTCTAAAATGAATAAATTGGAGTTCTCAACAAGTCTCAAATACAAAATGTCTGAAATAAAGGAAATAAGGCACACAACATTTACAACTTCTAGAAATGACTTTCAAAATGTCTAAACAAAAGCCTACAGTGGAGCTCAAAAATAAAATATAACTATAATAGAATAGCTGAAGCTAGAGTGCCTCGCCATCAACCTGCGACTCTCCGGGCTCCTGGCTCGTTACCTGAAAGAGGGAGGGACAACGAGCGTCAAAGCGCTAGCGATCAACATAACAACCAACCCCAAAGAAAAAAGGCTCGTTGTATACAGAAAATACAGTTATAATATATATAGAAAAACATTGATCCTATTTAGGTAATTACAATATGAGTATAAGCACGTCGAGCGAAATAATCCAAACAAGAAAACCCTCATGTATATACCATATAGCTTAAATTATAAATACCTATGAAAAAGAGGATTTTAGTATTTAGGAAATTACAACACAAGCATAGGTACGTCGAGCGAAATAATCCAAACAAGATTACAACACAAGCATAGGTACGTCGAGCGAAATAATCCAAACAAGAAAACCCTCATGTATATACCTTGTATCTCAAATTGGCGAAATAATCCAAACAAGAAAACCCTCATGTATATACCTTGTATCTCAAATTGTAAATCCCTAAATACAAAACCCAAAATCTAATACATACATAGTAATGAAAGAAAACAACATCATCTCAGAACTTAAATACCAGGTCATATCACAACTCATATACGTGTCATGTCCGGCCTATGTAAGAATAGGTGTAAATTTTAAGGTCTAAACTGATGCCCAACACATGGGCTAAAACTAGATGTAATGAATGCCCAACACATGGACTGCATATGAAAGTTGTCCAACACATGGACTAAGGGTGACAAATGTCCAACACATGGACTGCATATCATAATAGCCCAACACATGGACTATGTGAAATATATGAAAGATGCATATACCCTAATGCCTCACATGTCTCAGTATGCAACCCTACACTCATGTTCGCAAATTATCTCACGTGTAGAGATACGAAATAAACATAAATACTAAAGGCAGATAATCCGAGGCGACTCCTCACTCATATAGATGTACGCCAATAACAGTAAACATGCCAAAACAGTTTCGATTAAAAAAACGAAACAAACCAAACAGATCCACAACGAGGAAAAACTAGGAGTTTCCTCGTCAGTCGACTCATGAGTCATTTGGGATCATCTGTCAACTCATTAGTCGACTTAACAGACATAAAGAAGAAAAACAGAAAGAAAGTTTCTCGTCAGTCGACTCATTGGTCGACCCATCAGTCGACTCATGAGTCGACTGATAAGTCGATTGATTGGTTGACTGAGCAGGAAATCCCATGTTTTCTGCAATACATTAATTATTTGTAAAAATAAACTCCAACCTAAAGATCATCTTCATCAGTCTTAGCAATGTAAACACGATTCTTACACATATGTATTAAACTAAAATGAAATATTTGCATGATTATCTTGCATTAAAACCCTAAACATATTCACTCATGTTTAAAAATGTTTTGACAACAATAAATCATAAGAAACCATATTTAAAACGAATTCCAGATCTGGACCTAGGTTACAAAACGTTGGTGAACTTTTATTAATTAAAACAATTGATTTCTCACATCAAATACTATAGAGATATACTTTTATACGCAAAATATTGATTTAGGCTCAATAAATCTAAAAAAAGCTCAATAAGAAATACAAACAATGAGTGTAGGGTTAGGCGAGATGTTACTCGCCTCTGGTATGTAGAAAAACTCCTGAGCCCTTTGGAGAACAATCCTCCTTCGACAGCACCTCAAAAATCCTACTGAAATTCTCCGAAAATTCCCCAAAATCACCGAAACGAACTAGGGTTTGAGTGGAGAGAGGGGCTAGGGTTTCTCTGGGATACAACCAAACCAGCAACTAAAAGAAAACCCAAAATCAGCCCGTCAGTCGACTCATAGGTCGACTCATAGGTCGACTCATCAGTCGACTCATGAGTCGACTCATAAGTCGACTGAGCAGACACTAATTTCCAGATTCGTGCATGTTTTGTTATTCAGCCAAAACCAATGCACGAACTCTATGAAACCACACTTATACATGTTTAGAAATTTGTTACCAAGTATATCCATGACCTCAAGTCATTTACCACAAATAGAACTATTCATCACTAATAGTTCACATATACTTCTAACAAAATACGGGGTTTTACAGTTAATTTTTTTTAATGAGCATGAGATTCCTATCTATTTGAAGATCATTCTCCATTTTATTCAATTACTATTGTAATTTTGAACTTTTTTAGCTTAACTGTACACCTTCTATCAAGACTCATCTCTATTTTTAGTACCTAGTGGCCAGTGTTACTCTGATATGATGTAATTATTCTAATTCAAGTATGTAAAAATAATTGCAAGTGGTAAAGACCCTAAATCTTTTAAAATGATGTATATTGAATGTCTTATAATAAGATATCAGAAAACTTAAACAACACATATTTGAGTAGTTTTACTCACATAATTATTTTTAATTAACATACCTATTGAACATTTCAAAGGCTCGCAATTAGGGGTGTTATCGGAGCGGATACGGTTCGGATATAATGTTTACCACATCCATATCCGCTTTTTATAAACGGATACGGATACGGATACGGATCACTCTCGGTAAGAAAAAACCTTAACCATATCCGCATTTATCGGAAACGGATACGGTTCAGATATTTGAGAATCGGATCAGATATGATCACGGATATAAACGGATATTGGCAAACGTAAAAATCACATTAAAATTACCTTGAAATTTGAATAGTTTCACTTGATATGTTCAAGGTACCCTCTTCTCTTGCAGTCCACAAATATCTCTGTTGAAGACCCCCAAACAGACAATTGATTAGCTATTTCTTCAAAAAATTATAACAACTAGTAACAAAAAAGATAAAAATTCACGAAGATACTCACAACTATATTCGGATGAGAGAGGTTCTTTAGGAGCTCAACTTCCTCCTCCAATTCTCTTATATGAGCCTATCAAATACAATTTTACTTGTGAAAAATTGCTATAGATGACGACGAAAACAAGTGTTCTAAAAGAAAAGGGGACAAAGATCCTAACTTGGGCTTTCTCTTTCGACGCACTGTTCACCCTGATCAACACCTGCAAAAAAATTAACTCGATCAGAACCCTAACCCTAATCCTAATCACAAAACGATACCAAAATTCGCCCGAACAAAAAAACAAAAACAAAAAAGAAGTGGGAAATTGACCTGTTTGACAGCAAGAAGCTCCCCAGAATCTAAGTTCATACCCATGTAAACATGGCCAAAAGCACCGCAGCCGATCAGTTCCCCCTTTCGCCATCGAATCGTAGGGGCGTCGTCTTCAACGATGGGCTGAGGAGGAGGAGGAGGCGAGGTTCTGGCGACTCTTCGCTGGCGAGAAGGTTGAGCGAGTGGCGAGGTTCTGGCGACTCTTCGAAGTTTGAGCGAGTGGCGACTCTTCGGATATCCGCATCCGTTCGGATACGGATGCGGATCGGTTCGGATATATCCGAACCGTTTGGCACCCCTACTCGCAATCGGTGATAGCTCTAAATATTTTAAAATGATATATATTGAACATCTCATAATCAAAACATCAGAAGAACTTAAATGTGGTTAAAATTAATTTATACCGCTTTTCACGAGTGCCTATAAAGTATAATATTATAACTATAAAATACTTAAAATGAAATGCATTAAGTAAGCATTTAGTTTTAAATTAAGAGCACTTATTTGAATAATTTTAGATACATAATTCATTTTACTTAACATATATATTGAACATTTCAAAAGCCTAAATATCCAAGTTTTTACTTTTCAAACTATATTTTTTAGTCATAAAAATAAAAAAAAAACTCTTTTCCACTGAGTTGGTTGCTTATAGTAAAATGTTGTGTTTTTCTATTTGATATAGTAAATTATTAAGCAAACGATATATCTCATGTTTAGTGCAGATAACTATGCAAATAAAGTAAAATATTTTAAATGCTAAATATCAATAAAAATAACCCTGTTAACTTTGGATGATAATCAGATAATTTCGCATAACTTTAAAAATATCAAAAAGTCCACTAAATTTTAGGGGTTATCAGAAAACCCCTTTAACTTTGAGATTTTTATTAGGAAATCACTCCAAAAGTGATAATTTTAGGGGAGTTTTCTAATAAAATCTTAAAGTTGAGGTTTTTTAATAAGATCTTAAAATTAAAGGGGTTTCTTATAATCACTACTTAATGAGATTTTATAATATTATATCTAAAAATAATGGATTAATTTTATAAAAACTCCCTCCACTATTTTAATATGAGGAAATCCCCTCAGGTTTAAGCATATTATAGATAACCCCCTCCCCCCCCCCCCCCCCTCAAACTATAAAACTTTGAAATAATCCCTTAAACTTTCTTCACTTAACTCCCCTCAAATATAGAGATTCTCTACGAAAACTCCCTCAACCATTTTAATATGAGAAAGCTCCTCAGATTTGAACTTAATATAGATAATCCCTTTCAAGCTTGAAAATTTAAGAAATCACCATGAACTCTTCTTAATCTATGCCCTGAAAGCTAACATTGTTATCTAATAACCCTACAAGTTTACATTTATTTACTTAACATGAAAATATTTTTGGTAAAAAAAACCCAAACATTGGATGTTTATATATAATTTAAAGATTTTTCAGAGGTTTTTCGTAATTATTGGAATTTTCAAAAGGTTGATTATAATTTTTAGATGTTTGGGAGATTTGGTTCTAATTATATATTTTTGGGTTTTGTTTGTGCTTTTTTATATTTTTGGATTTTTTTAGTAATTTTCTTGATGGTTCTTTGTAATTTTCTAATTTAAAGGATTTGTTTATGATTTTTAGATTTTTAGGGGGCTGTATACAATTTAAATTTTTTTAGGATGCTATTTGTCATATTTTATTTTTATTGGATTTTTTGTTATTTTCATATTTTTCATGTGTTTTTTTTTTTTGAAAACTTAAAATTTTAGGGTTTTGTCTTTTAATTTTCAAAAATCAAAGGAGGATATTTGTACTTTTTAGATTTTGCATAGGTTGTTTATAACTTATAAACTTTTTATGGATTATTTATAATTTTAGAACGATAAGATTCTTTTTCATTTTTTTAGATTTTCTAAGTTTTTTTTACAATTTCATGAAACCCTCAAAATTAACATATAGGTAAATCTCACTAAACCCCCAATAATTTTACTATTTGGAACTAAATATCAAATATCTTTAAAACTCTAACTAAACACCCAATAATTTTTAGCAGAGAATCCTCACAATTAACATCATTAATTTATGCGTAGTCAGATGATCAAAGTACACCCCAATAATCCAATAAGTTTTACATTTTATTTCACTAAAGCCCTATCATTTTTTAGTAAAAACCCAAAATAACAGTCATTTATAATTTTTTGATTATTTTAGAGGTTTGTTTGTATTTATTAGAATTTTCAAGAGGTTGGTCGTAATTTTTAGATTTTAGAGGGGTTTGTGTCTAATGTTTGATTTTTTGGAGGGTTGTTTATACTTTTTATAATTTTTAGGTTTTTATAATCTTTTAAGGTTTTCTTTGTAGTTTTCTAACTTAAGGGGTCAATTTATTATTTTTAGGATGTTTAGGGGGATGTTTGCAATTTAAAATTTTTAGGCTGCCATTTGTAATATTTTACTTTTTATGAGATTTTTTGTAATTTTCATATTTTTCATATGTTTGTTTGAATTTTTGATTTTTTAGGGTTGTTTGTATTTTAAATTTCTAAAGGGGTTTGTTTGCATTTTTTGTATTTTTTAGAAGTTCTGTGTAATTTATGAATTTTTGTGTGTTATTCATAATTTTAGAACTTTAAAAGTTTTTTTTTAATTTTAGGATTTTCAAGGGTTTTTTACAATTTTATTTTTTTAGGGGCCTATATGTTTTTTGTAGCTTTCAAAAAAAATTTAGTATTATTTGTAATTTTAGAATCTTTAGTAGCTATCTAAGCACAAATTTAGAAGCTCTTATGAAAGTTAGAAGTCAGTATACATTATCTTTGCTTCACGATTCTCGTATTTGCTAACCTACTTCCATCACAGTGTACATGTGATGCACGCGAGGCTACATAATGCTGTACCAATACCTTGGTATCTCTAACTAATAGGAAACCACCAATGTCTTAGAAAGGCGGTCATGTAACTATTATTGCTTTGATAAATTACTTTCATATTCTAACATATCTTGTAGGTTGAAAGACTCCTTTTATGGATTGAAATCTGGATTCGCAGAGGATCATCTTTATTTCCCCCTTAATTGCTTAAAGTTTGTGATAGTAAGATTTGAACCTGTAATATAATATCATGTTAAAAATTCTTGTCAACATGTCAAACAACCACATAGTTATGGCAAGAAGCTAGGTAAGGTTATAACTTTAAATTCTAACACGGCCGAGTTGTGTGCCCACTAGTACTTATAGACTTCTAACCAAAGTTTAACACAAAAAATGTGTTTTCTGAAAGTTGTTCAAGGTCTACTTAGGCAAATATTTTCAAATATTTTCAATGTCTATTATCTAAGTATTATAAGTGAATAATTTCTTTCTTTATTTTACCTTTTCCACCCTTTTTTACAGAAGTGAACAAGAATTTAGTGAACAAGAATAAATACAAGGCCTTTCCTTAAAAAAGAAAAATAAAATACAGGGAACTAATTAAAATCCATCCTTTGTATATAATGGAAGGGAAAATTGCTTCTAGCCCCTAAAATCAAAAAGCAAATATGCCCCACCCCAAGAATAAGTCAGTATACCAAAAACATCCAAACCACATTTTTATGCTTCTAGTCCTCAAAACTAATGCCA